TTAAACATTCTGAAACACTTTGTCATTAGTGTCAAATTCTGCAACACAATAGGAAATGAATACTGTCAGAATTTAGGAGCATGACTATAGATAGGTTTTGGATTGATGACCGGATTTAGTGCGCACTTATACAACTCATTGCTACACTTCACAAATCACTATATGACACACTATGCCTTCTCAGACTGTTACAGTCTTTACTAGCCGTTGTTTGGTAATGGATGTTAACAATGGCTGTTCCTCTGCTTCCATGCTCAAATCCCATCCAGAACTACTGTCAGCAGACAACTCAACTAACTGGGTTCCAGGCTGGCGGCCACTTCACACTAACCTCCTAGTCTTCTCTTCACAGACTGACTTCCAACTGACAATTGACAACTGAACTCTCTCACCAACCAAGCGGCAACTTCACATCACTTCACTCATTTGTACTGCTGGTGAGACTCCGCTGACCCTGTCTATAACATTTCAACACTAACCACATAGAAAACCCTGTTCCCGTTGTTATAGTCCAACAGAAATTGGTGTTGGTTTATCCGCCTAATGCATAGCAATGGCTGTCCTCATTGTCTGCCTTGATGTCTCTGCCCAGCAACGGTTCTGTACGCCACAATACATAGAATTATTAGATAATTTTTATGAAGTAAAAGAATGCCTTATGTGGAGGTCATATTTGGCTGGCTGTCTAGGAATTGGTGTCAGCACCTAAACAACTGGATAGCCTTTATTAAAATTTCTTATGGGAGACTGTCACTAAAAGTTGTTATGCAATTTGATTTGTTTCATTCTGGTCCGTCACACTAACAATTACAAATATAAATCACTCCATCCAATGTGACCTGTAAGTTTTTTACTACATGAAAACTAAACACCCTTACATGTTTCGGTCTCTGTGGACCATCTTCAGAGGGCAAACATCACTACAAATAGGAAACCACCATCACATAAGTTGTTTAGACGTAAAGTACGTACACTTATATGCTACAATACATAGTACACAAAATAGAACATTTCACAAACACAGCAGTTTCCTGGGAATGTAAAGTTATTTAAAAAATTGTATAAAATTTCTTGATGCTAATTAATTTTTTTTTGTATTGTCAATAATTAAAATTCGTAAACCATGCAGGCTCGTGTTCGTCCTCCCATCATCCCTCTTATATGGGGCAGATATTGTGCCACCTGGTTATTTTGATGTGGAGGTTCTTTATATCGTCCAGGGTTTGCTCGTGGCTGCTGTGCTGTTTTCACTATTCAGCTGTGGGTTGGATGTTCAAACAGTTCCTACAAATTGCACTGCAACCACTCCAGTGGAATTATAATGCTACAACACCACACTCCATTTCAGGAGTTCATCACACCAGAGAGAAATCTGCTTCACAAATATTGCATTCTCCCCATAAACAGACATAAACTGTCAATGAAATTCATTTGCTGTAGTCACTTCTGCTTGCAGACAATGAATTACTGAACAGACTTCCACTCTTAACCATGTCTTTAGTGGCATCATCCTTTTGTTTGACTTGCTAATTATAAATAATGAACAGTAACACCATCTCTTGGCAGATTTAAAAAAAACTCTGTATATATGACTTCAGTGACTGCATTCAGTGTTGCCGAATGAAATACATGGCAGCAGATAATTGTACTGCCTTACTTTTCGAACCTCTGTTATAAATTATACATAGATAATAAATTCATAGAATTGTATTGACATGTTTCAGTTGGCCTGACAGTGGTGCTGTTAGACATTCCTTATGACATTGTGTCAGTGAAATTCTTGCACTGGACATGGCATGACACAGATCCAAACATTGGTGACCGTCATTACTGGGTGCCCTGGAACTCATACTACTTTCATTCATGTTTTGCTGCGAGCCTCACCTTTTGGTTCCATGGATGGAGGAGATGGCTGTGTTCAGATAAGCTAAGAAAATGGGAAAGCAGTAGGTGAGTACATGTCCAAGAAGACCATGTTTTTTCTGTCAGTGTGAACCTCAGTCGTGATAAGCATACACATACTACAGGAGATGGACAGAATAATTTAAACACAAAGAAACTGAGGCATAGAATTTGTGTTGGCTACATTGAAATAAGTTCAGTTGGCAACACTGAATGTTCTTCCATTTGTTTACATTTTGTAGTGCTCGTGTAAATGCATTAGTGATTGTGTTGAGTGAGAGTCCATACAATGTATATAATCTTCACTCCCCCCCTTGTCATTTAACTGCATCAAGCCTTTGTATGTTATTCCTCGAAGCACCCAAGAATGCACAGCTCCCCTTCACGTATCTTGCACTTTAGCTGCCTTTCAATTTAATCATCTTCCAAATGACATTTCATTGCCACTGTACAATGAAATGAAACTCTGATATTAGAATTTACTATGAACTCACAGAAAACTGACTGCACTCTGTATCTAAGTTATGATGCAAGCGTTTGGTTACAACCATAGGAATGACAATACTTCCTTTCAGCTGCAATGGAAGGGCTTGGGACTGATGTATGAAACAAGGAATTTTCTAAGTAGTTACTATCTTCATGTTTTGTGAAATTGGTTTGTCCAGTGATTGAGGCTAGCTCTTTCTAACGGACCCAACAGAATAGGTTTTTCCTTCACCTGAGGACGGAAACAGATCCAGTTTCCGAAACGTCGTGTTTTTATTAGTTATCTCAAAAACCAGGACGATGGATAAAGTCCAAAAACCCAATATATCAAAGAATTTTCTCTCCCTTCTCCCTTGAATTCCCATACTTTCACTTCTCTATCCGTCTAGTCAACTGTGTTGAATAGCTGAAGAGTGTAGCAAGAATGTGAATCTTACAGAGTAATAAAACAATGTTTCTAGTGGTTCCAGATATTTTATGACACCAGAGACCGCTAAAGCATGTCAAATGTTACAAGAAGGAATAATTTTATAATGTGAAACTGCTTTGTGAAGAAGCGGGAAATCTTTTATACAGTACACATCAAAATTACCAAAATAAATAAACATTATAACATTTCTACCTAAACATTTTCAAAGGGGCCATGTCGTAGCTCAAGAGGTTAGTTGATGGCTTCCCACCACAGCAGCCCGGGTTCAATCCTGGGTCAGGTCAAGTGGGATTTGTGGTGGAGAAAGAGGCACTGGGTCAGGTTTTCTCCAAGTACTTCGGTTTCCCCTGCCAATCTTCATTCCACCAATTGCTCCACAGTCACCCTCACCTATCATTTGGGGCTCGTACAATAGGCCAGAAGTGGCCACAGTACAAGAGACGTAGTCCCACCCCACTAGCAATAAAAAAAAACATTTTCAAATCTTACTTTACAATATATCACATTATGTACTTTGCTGATAAAAAGATAATTCCATTCCTTTAAATAAAGTGTTTAAAATTATTTAAAATGTCAAACCACAAAGGACATTTAAATCCTCAAAAGTAACAGGCATTTAAATACTTGTAAACTCCATCCAGCTCACCCTACCACCATTTAAAAATTCCAGCATTTAAAGGTTAAATAGATAATGCTCTATACACATATACTCATTATGTTTCGGTTTCTTTGTACAGTGTCACAATGGAGTTGGCCTGTACTGTGCTGTCAGCAATCCTGGGAATGCCAGGTGGTATTTTGCTGTTCTTGCCTTTATACCACCCACTTCATGACCTTGCAGGTGTTCACTCTGAGGTGACATTCTTCATGCTCTTCACTATCTTCTTGCTCATATCCTGGACTGGTGACAGGACACCTACCCCAGATGCCAGGCCCCGCTCAGGTACATATTTCTTCTAACGTATGGTACTTTTGGGAATTACATTTTTTATTTTGGGGATGGGGGGTTAATACTCTCATGTGTTGGGTATATGTCACGCGACAAATAACTTCACACCGTACTGAATATAGTGAATTTATTCCACATTCGCTCGTACACTCACACAATTCACAATTATAATTACTGCCATCGGCAGTATCACAATTACATCCACTGCCCTCGGTGACTGCTAGATCTCTGCTGCAATCAGCAACTTCACAATCTGCACTGTGTCACTCTTGATCTCACACTCTCCCCACATACTGCTCAGCCAGCTTTTTATACCGTTCCCTGTTGCCTCATTTTACCAGCAGTGTCCCCTGTTATGTCACAGTGGGAAGTGCTGTTACGTCACCGCGGGGGAGAGGGCAGACTGTTGACTGGCCTATTACCCTAGCAGCGGCAGTGCTCCAATGCTGTTACGTCACTGCTGGCGGGGGAGAGGGTGTCCTGCATAGCACAAATACGTCACAATATGTTACTTCAAATAACCATTTTCTCTTGACTCTTCCCTCCAGTGTTATAGTTTTTAATTCAAGGAGAATTAGTTGGGTGGGACATAGGCCAAGCATAGGCTAAGTGAGAAATGCATACAATATTTTGGTTGAAAAATCTCAAGGGAATAGACCACTTGTGATGCTGTTTTTCATCTCATGGTCCATGGATCAATGCCAGTCCATGGATTAATTTATAACAGCATACTGAAACAAAGTGTATAATGGGTATTTAAATTAGCTAGTGTCAATGGTCTCATCATAAAGTAAATGTAAAGAATGCAGCAAAGAGTGCAATGTAGAAGAAATACTAGCACAATGTAACAGGCTGGAGGCAGTCTTATTAGTGACAAGGATACCACAGTGATATGTTTTTTGGTCAGGAGTGCATACAGCTGAGAAGGGGCGGTCAATCTTGCTTCTTCATTTGGCAGTCCACTATGCCCTCTACCTGGGCCTTGTTATTTTTTGTAATCCAGAGGAAGAGGTTTCCATTGGTCTCCATGAAAGAATTGGACCCTGCAATCAGACAGTGCCTATCCACACTGTTTTCGGAACAGTGAGTATAATTTTATCATATTTATTCACCAAGAAAGTTGGCTCAAATGGTGATGTTTCTGACGTTTTTCTTTTTGGGAGTGGAGGGAGGCTGGTTTGAATCTCATTTGTTACATGAACCATCCTGGCTGATAATTTTCTGCAATCCCTCCAGGCAAATGCTGGGACAGTAGCTCAAATTATGAAAGGGGAGTATCCTTCTATGTCCCTTCCTATTCACTATTCATTAATCATTCTAGGTACTGAAAGTGGTGTGAAATAAACTATAAATAAATAAAATAAGTTGCATTCACTCTAAAGCTTCATTTCATAAACAGATGGCAGCTAAGATCTGGAAAGTTACATATTTATGTGCTTCATAAAGTCATTGCTCAGATTGATTTTATGTTTTTCTTCCTTTCTTTATTTTGTGCGAACTCTTAATCCTGCTGTTATGTGATGTGAATCAGAATGTCAAACGATTAATAAATAATTCAGTGCAGATAGCCCAGAGTGGAATAATTTTAGAAAATAAAGCCAGTACTTTATTGGAAATAATAAAATACATAATGTAATAACAGTATAAACCAAGAATCAAATGATGAAAATAAAGATAAATATAACCAAATGGACCTGCACCATGCCTGTCAGAGCCATGGGCTCTATTTATTTAATGAGACTGGGATCATAACAGATTAAGTAGCACTGAATGGAAGAATGATGAGTGAATAATGAATTGGAAGGGTGAGGAAAAAAGTTGTCACAGCCTAATTTGAGGAATCAGTGTTGCCCCTGGGGGGGATTAAGATGAATCACAAAAGACCTTAGTTGGGATGGCCAGCTCTAGACTGGGGACTTTTTCCAAAAGAAAGTAGGAGCGACACTCACTCGACTGTGACATTCGGTATTATTTTATGATACCGTATCAGCTGTTCATATTGTTTAGTTTTGAATTATATGACTATCATTACTTAGAATGATTAATAGGAAGAAGCAGTCATAGCCTATTATAAGACATTATACTATCCAAATATTTCCTATCAGAATTGAAGAATTTTGAATCTCAGCCAGGGTATCTAGTCTCACTTAGGATTCAGACCAGTACCTAAATGTGAGTTAGGTATTACCACTGTAGTAGTTTAGTCAGTAATTCACTTCCTCATACACAGATTCAGATACATTACACTTTCTTGCTGCCATAGTACACCATTATGTCATCAGACTGTCAGATATACTGAGCATAATTAAAGTATGTGTTTGCTACTTTTAAATATACCTTGAAATATCTTTCTAATTAATATTGTAATAATTATAATTTTGTGGGTTAATCATCATTCTCTTATACAGGTACTAAGCAAACGGCGGTATCTGTGCGCTTCAGACTATGATGAAGATTACTTTGACTTTCACTGTTTGCCCAATGGACAGGCTCCATCAGAAGATAGCTACTGGTATACAGCTTGTGGAACCCCATTCCACAATCGTGCTGAATATGTGGCCATTATTGGCACCATCTGCTTCTTAGCATTTGTTGTGTTCCGAAACATGCACTTCCATTCAGGATCTAGTATCCATCAGAGTGAGACAAAGGCTAAGAGACATTAGTGGGTTAAAACACCCAGTCACAAAGCTAACTTAAAAGCAAGAGACTTAAATGTTGCATTACATGAAGAACAAAACACTGTGTATAATTTCTGTCCTGGTATGAATATAAGTTGCTGCTATATCATTGGTCCTGATTTTATGCCATGATGTGCGTTGTTGTACACTATGGACAAGTTGGAGAAAAGCACATCTGTACCTCTTAATATTGCTATTATATCTGGATAGGCTGAAATTTTGCAGCCATCAAAGTATGAAAACGGAATATGAAACAAGATCCTTTATACCATGTTCTTCTAACAAAAAGATCTAAATCACAAATGTTAGTACTTTGTCACATCTGGTTTTCTATGTTTTAATTAAAAATAAGCAAATTGCTGCATGTAAATGTTGAGTTGTTAGTTTCATAAAACAGAAATGCATGTAACTGAACAATATTGTTGCAGCTCCCCCTTGGCCCATTTATAGGTCATACCCTTGTTTTGTTTGTTTGGTTTTTTGGGGGGGGGGGTCAGGATAGCTCAGTTATTATAACAACAGACCATGCGCTGGACAGCCTGGCATGGCAAGACTTTTCCTTTCCCACAGAATCCAGACCAACTCTGGGCCCCACCCAGCCTCCTATCCAATTTTACCAGGGGTAATGCAGCCCAGAAAGATGACATATGGGAAGATCTAAACGATTTAGTAATTTATAACTGGATAACTCACATACAGGACAGAAGCAGTTGGAAGGAAATTGTTGAGCAGGCCAAAGCATTCAAGAAATGAAGCTGTCAAGCCTTATGAAGAAGAAGAATGTGGCCCAGGAGTGAAGCTGACCACTCAACTTGATCTAGTGCTGATGTCAAGAATAATGGTGTTCTGTTTCCACTCCCCCATGTCTTCATGTCATAGTGCTTAATTAATTGAGCACAGGGACAACTTTACCTTTAGCTTTGTGTTATGGTATAGAACTCATTTTAATTTTCCTCAAGAACTGTGGCATATTCTGTAAGTTGCAAACTGTCACTTTACTTCAAAACATTCATTTATTTTTCAGTCATAAACAAGTGATACATTGGTTTTGTAAATAATATCTTCTACTTGTCATCACAATCCGAGTATCAACCAGGGTGCTATAACACAAGTAATGTGTATGGTATTCATATTGGTAAAAGGAATAGTTTTATCTCAATTGAATTAAACTGTTCTGACATAAAGCAGAAACAGTATCAAGTCTGAAATATATGAAAGCATACATGCACTCATGAATGCCATTAGATGAGCAAGTAGCAGCAAATTTCTATTCCTTAAATTACTTTCAATCAGCTCTGAACTCCTAAACAATTAATGTTTCACAAAGCTTCAGTCTAAAATTAGTCATTAAATAAAAATTACATTGAATATGATTGAGAATAGGATTTAATATCAGATTTTATGGTCACAGTAATAAACCTTTGGGTTCTTCAAAAGTGAATTTCTCATATTGCTATAATGAAACCTATTATGAGGTCAGGCAATACCATGCATCAGGAATTTAGATTCTATAAAAGTTGCTTTTTGTAAGCAGAAGTGGGAAAAATGTAGTTATGGCATACAGTTCTGAGATTCTTGTCAAAGACAAGCAGCTTCATATTATGGCACTTGGCAATGAAGATTCAAAAGTAATCCTCATTTACGTATTGTCATGATGTATGTATGTGACTGTAGATGGGGTTTGGATTGGTGAATGGATTTATTGACACAAGTCGGAACTACAAGTAATTACAGCGCTATCACTACTTTCCACAATTCACAAATCACCACAGCACTCACTAAGACTTCCAGCCATCTGTGTCTTCACCAGCCATTCCCCGGCAATGGCTTTGACAGTGGAGATTCTTCAGCTTCATGCGCTCAGGTCTTCTTGTCATGTGAACACAGTACTTATCCTTCAGGTTCCATAAAATACTAGGAAGTTCTTGAGTAGCTGCACAATTGGAGGCTTCTCAAGAAGGGCTCAGCTCCATCAAGAGTTAGTTAGTTAGTTAGTTAGTCAGTCAGTCAGTCAGTCAGCTAGTTCGTGTAAAATTTGGTTAGGATGCTTTAATTCAGATTATATTGACGTGTCACGCTAGCATCCCACAGACCATGAAATTTGGCCATTTTAGTTTAAAGAGTTTACAAATCATTGATACTATGGAAATTTATCTTCAGATATTCAAATATTCTCAAACGTTGGGGGAATAGGATTTTCCGAGATTTCAGAGCTTGGGTCAATTTTTTAACATTTATTTTTCAAGAACGTTTCAAATTCGCAAAATTTTCAAAAACTATTTCATATTTCCATTATTCTAAATAAGTATCTTTTTAAACTTTTAAAATATTCATAGTATGTGAACATTTGACAACTTAAATTCCCTTAATTTATTATGTACTTGAGTTTATGGGGAAACACCGAAATTCTGTAAACCTGAACAATTTATCATATTCTCAAAAAAAAAAATCCACGCACTATAAAATTTGTATTTGTATTTTATTTTCATCCATTTTGTTACATAGTAACACTTGGACAAGTCATTCGGCAATATAAGTTAACAAACAAATCTACAAAGTTACAAGCATCCTATCAACATTTGTTACAATCATAAGCAATATACAAATACAACATTTCAAAGAATACACCACCTACTACATACAGCTCATGAATGGCTATGACATCCAAACATAAGTACTTGCACCATCCACTTTTTTATTAAAATTAACAAATTCATTTATCGTATAACAAAAATATTTCAATAAAAAGGATTTTAAGTCTTTTTTTAAAAGCTGAAAACCCTGAGTTTTTTGTTTTGTTTGGCACCTTACTATACAATTCTATCCCCATAGTTACAACACTTTTTTAAAAATGTAGTTCTGTAGAACTGAACATGAAAATCGTTGTTTATTCTTGTATTATAACTATGAATATTTATATTTTGGATAAAATCTGCTTTGTGCTTTTTTATGTAACATAACACCTATAAGATATACAAACAAGTGACCGTGAGAATGCCATAATCTCTAAAAATTTGCCTGTATGACTCTTGTTTACCATGTCCACTAATTATTCGCAACACCCTCTTCTGCATTTTAAATACCTTTATAATATCACCTTCACCCCCCAAAATATTATTCCACATCTCAATAACGATTGAAACTTTCCAAAATAAATGCTTCTTAACATATTTGGACTCAAAACTCCTCTTAGTGATTTAATTATATTCATTCATTCATTCATTCATTCATTTATTCACATTCCATAAAATCCTTACATGGTTTAAACAACCGAACAGATATAGAAATCGTCAAGTAGTATGAACTCATCTTGCTTATAATCAAGCAGTTGTCAATATGTTTGCAATATAAAACAATTTGAAAAGTTTACACAGTATCACAGTAATCAATATACAATATAAAATGATGGTGATAAGTAATATGGATAATAATATTGACAACTAATCAGATAAGAAGTATTATTACAGATAAAATGAAGTTACTTGGTCAGTTTCACATCATTCTTTCCATAAAATCCTTACACACTTACACAATCAACAGATATAGAAATCGTCCAGTAGTATAAACTCATCTTGCTTATAAATCAAGCAGTTGTCAATATGTTTGTAATATAAATCAAATTAAAAGTTAAATATATAAATTACCCTTTGCATAATCTTGCCATTGTCATCTATTAAAATATTCCTCCAATGTATGAAAGGAGTTCACAAATAAAAACTCTTTTAAACTGGCTTTAAACTTATTTGCATTATTTG